TTTAAGTGAATAATTACGTTTCTATTAAATTTCTATTCAAGTTTTCAAGTCAATCCAGTAAAAGTATCAAATACTGACACCAAATCTGTCGTCTTCATCTGCTGCCTGGCTCACTGTGGCTGGCTGTGGTTTGGGGTGTAAAGATGATAAAAAGCACTTCAACCAAACTAATCAAAACGAGAAGCTCTATAATTTGATCATCACTGGTCGAATTTATTCTCAGATATTTTTACTTCCAGAATAGCTTGAAACTCTTATACAAACGTTCACCATAAAACTCTCTGAAAATCAGGTTCAAGTTGCAAAGAATCATTAAAGTATTTCCTCCACCATTTTTTTTTATATAAGCTCACAAAAATTCTGTTTATCATAAAGACATAACATTAAATCTCATGTCTTTGCAGGTATGTTTGCTGTGAGAATGAGGACGAGTTAATTGCGTGGATGGCCACCTTTTTAAGCCTCAAGGTAACTGACCTCCTTCACTCTGTTAACGCAGGATTTTTCTAATCCTTCATCTCGGCCTGATTTTAAACCTCATAGATGCAGCTGTGATGCTGCTTCAGCTTTGTTTAGCTATTCCTGCTGCATTTTTTACTAAAAGACAGACACTAATAACATGATTACTGTCTCAGCGTGTGCCACAGGTTTACTTTGTTGCTGATGACCTTCAGATGTTCCTCAGCTCTCAGCCTGCAGCTCTTCATACTCTCCTCATTAACTACACTCTTAAAAAAGAAGGTTCTTCAAGTGTTTTTTAGTAAAGAAAATGGTTTTACATGGAACCATGAGCACTCAACAAACCCTTTGCCTGGATAAAGGGTTATTTGCCTCATGAAAGGTTCTTCAGATTGATGGAAAATGTTCTCCAGATGGTTTTAAATAGATCCGTATTGAAAAGGGTTCTATATAGCACCAAACAGGGTTCTTAAAGAGCCGTTTTCTTTACTAAAGAACCCTTGAAGAACCATTTTATTAAGCGTGTACACTGCTGACAGTTGTTCACTTCAGTTGACCTGTGTTAAGAGAAAACTCATGTTAGTTGGGTCTAAGGCTGCTTTTAGAATGGTCACCCAGCCGCCTGTAGCCGCTGAAATCACTCCTTCATAACTTTGATGTTGTTCTTTCTTTGCCAACCTACATCTCTCTCTCTCTCTCTCTCTCTCTCTCTCTCTCTCTCTCTCTCTCTCTCTCTCAGCATGGTGGAAACCTGTGGATGGAGTAAACAGGAAGTAGACAGGTGGAGCCTAAATGAACAAATTAGAAAAGTTGAAGTGTAGATGATGTTGAATGCCAAATCCATTCTTCTATACTCAAAATAATTAGAAAGTTATTTACATATTTAGATCAGATTTTTGTTTTAACATTAATACATTAATATTTTGGATTGTTGCTGATTAAAATGCTTCAACAGTGAATCGTGCCATAATAAACTGAGTGATCATTATAATAATAATTAAGAAACGGTGTGTAATTAACGTCACTGCTTTAAACAGTCGAACCACAGTGTGACTGAGGCTGTCTCAGTGTTTCACTGTGCTAACTGTGCTAGCTGGGCTAAATTCTCAGGAGGAACTTTGGACCAAACAGACATAAAAACACCAACTTAACAGGCAGAGAGTTCATTTATTTAATCACATTCTGCTGATCGCACCAATAAAAGGTAATAAACGGAGGTTAAACTCCAGCGTTGAGTCACATTAACCCGACTGTAAATCTGCCCCCTCTTCACTGAGCCATATGGAAAAATATGGACGTGTAGTTTTATGTATTTGAAATGCATTTCAAACACATTGCAGTCCAAACTGAAATACATTCAAACACTAAAGCATATTTCAGAATAAATTCCCATATTAACTGAATATATTTAAATCAAAGCCATTTAAAAATGTATGTAAATATCCAGAATCCTGTCTGATGCTCTTCACTGTCTGATACTTTTAGAGATGAATTTGTGTTCCAGTCTCTTCATTTTAAATCTGATCAAATGATCCTTTAACAGGACAGAAGCGAGTGTTGTGGGTACTGATACTCTGTGAAAATGCAGTTATGATCTGATATCTTGTTTATGTGAAATACATTGTGTGTGAGAGTCTGACTGCAGACGTACATGGTTAATGTAAAGTACAGTGCAGATCACAGAAGAACGTTTAGTTACATCTGGAACCTTTATTACACTCAACTGAACACAGAGAATAACACAAATACATGCATTTTAATAATATATTTAACAAATACATATTTGGTCATTTTAATACACTGCAGAAATATATCTGATAAACACATTTGCAATGAATGTTTTGTGTACTGTAGCGTCTTGGAGACGAAGGAGAGGCTGTGATTCTGTTACGAGAAGAGCTCTTTATTACACCAGCAGGAAAGACACACAAACACAGCAGGAAAGACCACTAACTACCCACAACACAACACAACAACATAACACTGCTGAAAAACCCATACAAACCATTAAGTGTGTCTGTTGGTTTCTGGTGGTTTTGTAATGTGTTGTGTCTTTTTAATGGGTTGATGTCACAGTGTAAAGGATCCTAATGCTTTAACAGGTGACCAGTGGCTGATTCTACAGGAAACTAGTGGTCTCTATTGGAAACTATTGAGCCAACACACCTTTCAAAGATGGCCGAGAGAGAGTGAGAGAGCAGCGAGCCAGAGAGCGAATGAAGAGGGAGAGTGAATGAAGAGAGAGTGTGAATGAAGAGAGAGTGTGAATGAAGAGAGGTACACGGCAGTGAATCAGAGAATAAAACTCTAAAATGTGTGTTTACAGTGCAGATCGGTGGCGTCAGGCCTGGCGCTGGGAGTAATTTAGTGCTGCTGAACCAAAATCCACACAGGAAATAAAGTTATATTGACGGGCATCAGTCGGAATCTGATCCTAATCTCACCTTTTCATTATCCCAGTGATTATTTCACAGATAAACATTACCCAACGGAGCCATAAGAGCCGCTTCCCAGCACTACACACCACACACACCACACGCACCACAAACACCACACACACCACGCATCCAGAGCCCTTACAGCCATATATGAGTACTGCCTAATGAATCGGGTGTCACGCTTTCAGGGCTTTAGGAATAACACGGCCTGTAATAACGCAGAATGACCCACCATGACGGTCACTGCTCGAAAAGAAAATATGCACAGTGATCTTTCATCTGGGCAAATTCGTCAAAACCTTTTCTCTCAAAATGACCAACCCATGAATGACATCAGGTGATATCATAGCAAGAGCAGGCGAGGAAAGCAGGAGAGTGTTTTTAGCTACACGCACAGTTAGCCATGTTTTTCTCTTGAACCTCTCTGGACTGAATGATGCTGAAATCCTCTGGCTGGTGTGTCCCAAACGTTTAATCTCTAATTTCTGCTCTAGTGGCTGGAACCAAATTTAACTTTCATTACGTTTTCCACTTCACTCATTATATTGTGTTGCTATTATGAGCAGCTACCACAACTGGTGAGGAACAGTGGTTGGCTGCGCAGCAACAGCCTCGATGTTACTAAACATCCGAATGTATGTAAATGTATTATTTTTTATTGGCTGCTCTCAGCATGTGGCCACCGTGATCGGCCCCACAGATGGTTATTGAAAGCACGTTGAACATGCATGGAGTGTTTTTAACTGCTTGCTCGGGCCCCACGCTCACCAAACCAAGACTGCTGGGAGAAATAGGGAGCCTACTGGCATTTAAACAACAGGAACAGGAGGATATATAGAATGTATCGCACAGCCTTACCATTGTCATATGTAATAAACACACAACAATGTTAGTTACGAAGAAAAAATGAATATATATTAGTTGTTATGCTGAATAATTGATCATGTCGTGCACTGCTCCACAGCGACATCTGGTGGGGCCCCCAAATGTAGAGATGCCTCTGGTCAGGAGAGGCTCAGAAATCCTCCTTTATTTCATACATCTGATATCAACCCATTCAAAAAGACAAAACACATACAAACCCTCTGATAGCAGCACATATCAGTCCACTGGCTTGATAAGGTCGTCCCCCACTGACTGTTTGCCACTGCTGGTCCACCCTCGGACCACCCAGGTTAGCATCCTGCATACAAGCTCTGCGCTGTTCTGTCTGCTCTGTGTATATTGTGTTGTTTCACTTGTGTTCCTGTGTTGGTCCTGCAGGAACGTTGTTCCGTTCACTGTGTGCTGATTTACAGCTGGAATGACAGTAAAGCCTCTTAAACTTGAACTACCTAGTTTTAATCTCCTCAAACAGATTTTAAAGACAAATATTACAAACAACCGAGAGAAAAATAGTGACTTAGCCTGATATAAAATGATTGTATAGATGTTGCTGACGCTGCAGTACGTTCAAATTATTTACTAAACTAATTTATAAAGTGTGACTAAAGAAAGGAAAGAAGGAAAAATCAGTAAACTGGACTGTGAGGAAAATGAGTGATGACCAGTGGAATTCTGTCTTTTACTCTGTTTAAACTCCAGTGGACCACCAGCTCTGCCTTCAGTGGGCCGACAGTGGACCACTGTCCCCTCACTATCAGGGCCATCAGGAACCAGCAGACACACTTAATGGTTTGTTTGGGTTTCTCTGCAGGGAGGAGCCTCTTCTGCTCTCTTCAGCTCTACTGACCAAATAAACACACGGAGAAACAGAGCCGATCAGATCTGAGAGTCTGGGCTCCTCGGGCTGTTCTGGTTCTCTGCGGTTCTGATCGGGTTTATCGGGTTTATTACTGTAATTAAACTGTGAATGTTTTACAGCTCAAACTCTCCTGGTTACGTTTCTACCCGCGGTGCTTTGTGGTTGCCACGGTAACCTGAGCGACTTCTCGGCTGTCCAATCAGCGAGCCGGACCTGTTACCAAATCGCAAAGCCCTGCCCACCGAAGCTTCGAGGAAGAGAGCCGTCCAATCACAACGCTGGAGCTCATGCAGCTAACTAGAGCGCACGCGCGGAACAGCAGAGCTCACCTGCGCGCGCAGGGCCAATCAGATCGGCGGAGGCTCAGGTGAGGAGCGGCAGCGTCTCGAGCCTCGACAAACAAACACAGCAGAGCTCGCGCCATGTCCACGCGGCGGTGGTGGTGTTGGCTGACCTTCGCGTGCCTGGCGCAGGTGTGGTGCTGCGCGAGCGCCTCGACCTTCTGCACGGCTTACCTGAGCGTGCAAGTGAACCACAGCGCGAGCGCGCTGCCCGGGAACCTCACTACGTGGCGGCGCGAGGCGGGGCTCTTCGGGCGCGAGTCCCCGCGTCATGGGCTGAAGGCCCGCGTGCTGCTGGCCGAGCCGGTGCACGCCTGCAGCCCGGACACGCGCTTCCGTGGCGCGCGCAGGGAGCCCGGCTGGATTGCGCTGATGAAGAGGGGAAGCGGCTGCACGTTCACCGAGAAGATCAACCGCGCGGCGGACAGAGGAGCCGCGGCGGCGCTGATCTACAACGAGGACGGAACCGAGAACACCGTCATACAGATGGCGCATCCGGGTAACTGCCGGACAGTTCGAGACAAAACTGTCACTTACACAAACAAACACGATAAGAAACCGCGTTAAAGCTGATATTACAGACGGCACATCCGGGCAACCACACATAATAATAATAATAATAATAATAATACTATCATTATTATAATTGTTATTTACACCTTAGTGTCGTATTATTTACATATAAATAAGATTATAGATTTAATATTACAGATGGCACATCCAGGTAAATATATCACAAATATATTATTACAATTATTATTATCATTTCACACTATATTTTTACAATTATAAATAACAATGATGTACTAAAATATTATTATTGATATTGTTATTATTATTATTATTGTTTTTATGCGTATTATGCTTATTATTATTATTATTATTATTATTATTTTCACGTTTATACTATATTTTTACAATTATAAATAACACTAATGATGTACTAAAATATTATTATTAATAATAATATTATTGTTATTATGCGTATTATGGTTATTATTATGATTATTGTTATGAATATTATTATTGTTTTCTGACTGTGAGAGTGACGTCACTGATACAGTCACACTGAGCTGAAGTGAATTCTGACTGAGACTTCCAGACACACTGAACTCCACTGCTGTGTTTATCAGCAGTCAGAGGTCACTGATCAAACCGATCGACTCCGCACTGTCCGATAGACGAAGCTGAGTTTGTCTTTATATTCACCAGCTGCTTATTGGAAACTCTCAGTTCCACCTTAAACGGCTGCTGCTGTAACTGCTGCACCGTTTAAGGTGGAACTGAGAATTCAAATAAGAAGCTGCTGAACAGTAACCTTCACTGTTTGAGGTGAGTGAGGTGTTGAACGTGCGGTTAGCAGTGTGTCTTTGGCAGTGTGCGGTTGGCAGGGTGCTAATTGATGGGTATGAGACTCCATCGCTGCGCTAGTCTTGTAAACAAACAGGTTATGTGAGTTTTAGTAAAAAAGAAAGCAGGTTTTTTCTGAGCTGAGTGGAGTGAGCTGAGCTGAGCTGAGCTGAGTGGAGTGAGCTAAGTGAGCTCAGTGGAGTGAGCTGAGCTCAGTGGAGTGAGCTGAGCTCAGTGGAGTGAGCTGAGTGAGCTGAGCAGAGTGAGCAGTGCGAGGCTCCTGCTGTGTTTATGTGGTCAGAAACGTTCCTGCTCAGCTCTGAACCTGTAAGGCCTGTTTTTCCTGCTGAGCTGGACGAGAACTATGAGGTCTGACCTGTTTGGTGTTTTATTAGTGCTCAGGGTTAAAGTTCTGATCTGATCAGGGAGTGAAAGAGTTCAACGTTACAGAGTTCAGGACAACTTCAGAGAGAGACGGAGAGACACAGAGAGCAATAGAGAGAGAGAGAGGGAGACAGAGAGAGAGAGCAGCTTGTTCCTCTCCTGAGCGTCTGCTGGTGTTTGTTATGGCCGTGTGTGTCGAATCCTCCGAAGGCTGAACTGACGTCAGTCGGTCGCTCAGACGTGCAGCTTCACTCGGAAACCTCCTCAGCCCCCCGACACCACGGTTCCCCCTGACCCCGCTGCCCCCTGACACCACCACCCGGGGGGGGGCTTTGCTCCTCCGTCTCCAAGTACTAACTCCCGAGCTGTGCGGTGGAGAAACCTCCATCACTGGAAGAGCAGTATTAGTATTAGTAGTATTATTAGCAGTAACAGTATTAGTATTAGTAGTATTAGTAGTAGTAGCAGTGTTAGTATTAATAGTATTATTAATAGTAGTGGTAGTAGTAGTATTAGTAGTAGTATTAGTGGTAGTATTGGTAGTGTTATTGATAGAAGTGGTGGTAGTATTTGTAGTAGTATTAGTAGTAGCAGTATTAGTAGTAGTATTAGTAGTAGCAGTATTAGAATTAGGAGTATTAGTAGTAGCAGTGGTAGTAGTAGTATTAGTAGTAGTATTAGTGGTAGTATTAGTAGTGTTATTAATAGTGTTATTAATAGAAGTGGTAGTATTTGTAGTAGTATTAGTAGTAGCAGTGTTAGTAGTATTAATAGTAGTAGTGGTATTAGTATTAGTAGTATTTGTAGTAGTATTAGTAGGAGCAGTGTTAGTAGTATTAATAGTAGTAGGAGTATTTGTAGTAGTGGTATTAGTATTAGTAGTATTTGTAGTAGTATTAGTAGTAGCAGTATTAGTAGTAGTGGTATTAGTATTAGTAGAATTATTAGTAGTATTTGTAGTAGTATTAGTAGTATTTGTAGTAGTATTAGTAGTAGTGGTATTAGTAGTATTATTAGTAGTATTTTTAGTAGTAGCAGTATTAGAATTATTAGTATTATTAGTAGTATTTGTGGTAGTATTAGTAGTAGCAGTATTAGAATTTAGTATTATTAGTAGTATTTGTAGTAGTATTAGTAGTAGCAGTATTAGAATTATTAGTATTATTAGTAGTATTTGTAGTAGTATTAGTAGTAGTAGTATTAGAATTATTAGTATTATTAGTAGTATTTGTAGTAGTATTAGTAGTAGCAGTATTAGTAGTAGTTTAAATAGAAACCTCCATCACTGGAAGAGTTTCTCTCAGGAGCTCAGCTGTCTGTGAGCTGAACCTCTTCAGCTTTAGCAGGACGTCTGCAAATACACAGGACGGCTGACCCTCCGTTCCCTCTGCTGACCTCAGTATCAGCTGAAACCCACTGACACTGTGGGGCAGGGGTGGGCAATGTGATGATTATTTGGTGATTATCATGATTAATTATGTCACAATACGCGTTTCTGAGCATCAGAACGTAAAGACTAAAACTCTGAGGGCACATTTCAGTACAGAGTGAGTTAATGAGGCCTGTTTGACTGGATTTAGTGCAGTTTATAAAACAGTGAACAAAAAACACTGTAGTCATAAATTTATTATTATTATTATTATTTCTGAAATTAAATCTTAACTGTGAAACATATTGTGATGCACATTGTCTATCATGGAAATCTTATAAAGTATCGTGATGTAATGTTTTTGCTGTACTGTCCAGTCTCGCTAGGTGGGCTGGTGAACCTTAGATCCCCCTCAAACCACTGCAGGCCACCACACCCCAGTCAGTCTGCAGTGGTGGGTGAGTGATGATGTGATACTGGAAGCTGGTTTCTCTGCTGAAACACGCTGCTGAACCAGTTCAGGCCTGAGCTCCTGCAGAGCGTCATCAGGGCGTATCTGCCTGTAAACCAGCTCAGCTCCACCCTTCAAACGCGCTTCGCCCCTGTTCAGGTCCATACCCGACCTCCCTCTGACCTGTCTGCCTAAAACACCTCCGCTGTGGAGACGCTCCTCAGTTAGGGCACAGTGTTCTCACCCAGCGGGGGCTACAGGACCCTCCACGAGCACAGAAACATTTAAATGACAAAATATGTATAAGAATTGTTTGAAACGTGTCCAGCGAGCAGCTTCTCAGAGTGGCCCCAGTCGTTGCGTTTTCACAGCGTGGATAAGGGCCGTTAACCTTATCCAGCACATACAGTCTGTGCTCTTCAGTGTCAGAGACTCTGTGAGAGACACACTGTTTCCTGTAGTTTGTCTGCAGTGAGGCACATTCTGCTCGCTGTTTTGTGAACAAGCCTCGTCTCGTTTTATGCGCCCGGCGGCTGATTTTGAGCTGAGCTGAACTGCAGTCGCTCACTTATTCTACGCTGTGAACGTTGTGTCTGTGCTGATTGTGAAAGTGGGACACGCTAATGATCCACTGAAGCTAATGAAATCTACCTCTGCCACACAGCACTGACCAGCTAGCTTAGCAAGGCTAAAACACAGCTGACCTGCAGTTACGCTGCTGCTTTACTGACCCTGCGGAGGCAGAAAGACCTTCCTGGTTTTCTCTGTGGAGAAAAATGAGCACTTTCAGAAAATCGCTTCTGCTCTGTAAACAAAAATGTGCCAAACGTAGCCGGATTCTCTGAATCACAAGGTCACTAACGAGCTGAAATACGAGTACAGCTGCACAGCTAACTCTGCTGCTCACTGAACTGACCTCACCAAAACACCCCACACAGACCAGCAGGCTCTGTCCAGCGAGGGAGTTTAGAGGCGTCTGGCAGTTTGAGGCTGCGGTTTGAGGCGCTGCTGTTGGAACATAACAGTGATGTTATTAGCATGTATGTAGCAGTATTCATATTGTGGCGTCCTGCTATTGGCTCATGCTGCCACAGGAGCACAGGAGGCGTGGCCATGCAAAGCGGCCACAAGAGTGTCGTCGTTAGTTGTCTCAGTGTTAGTGCCTACCGTGAAAGAGAGAGGCCCAATCCTGTTTCACCCCTAGTCCTTACCTCTGAGCCCTTCACACCTACAGAGGGGTTCCAATTCTTGTTGAGATAGAGGGGTGGGGCGAAGTGTTGGGGCTACATGACCCTCCAAACGGAGGTTTTTCAGAGACTCCAAACAGAGAGTTAAGAGAAAAAAAGAAAAACCAGCAAGATGACTGAACAAGAGACCAAAGAAACCCACAAATGTGAGAATTTTCTCTGTTAGAAAATTACAGTAACCATCGTATTATAATGTCGTTTCAGTGTATTTTGGTCCTTTTCTTCATAACACGTATAAAAAACACTAGTAGTGCTGATGTCTCAGTAGCTAGTTAGCTAAATGTCCTGCTCCACCTTAAGTGGTACAGCAGTTACATTCTGGCACCTCAGGTTTCAGAACTGCTGCACCGTTTAAGGTGGAACGGGAAAATTTGGGGTCCCATTTCGTAGGGAAGATTTCAACCACTACCCTCTAACTCAGTTCCAAGGGGCAAAGTGACACTCGAAAACAAGGGGTAGGGGTAAAAATAAGAAACGGAATTGGGCCAAAGTGTGTGGTTAGAAGTGATCTGCCTGCTTCCCGGCTGTGTCTGCAGCACAGAGCGGCGGTTTTCCGTTGCTGCCTGTTCAATAAAAGAGCATTCGCCTTTAAAGGACAGTGATTCCTGTGTTGTCTTCTTCACTGACGCCACAATATTTTGACTGTTCAACGAGTTCGTAATTCAGAGGATCACCCAGCGACACTCGCAGGTAAAATGTCCACATCTGGTTTGGACCATGTTTGCTTACACAGCTGCGATTTTGTCCACAGTGATAAACAGCTTAGAGCCGGAGCTCCTAATATAAACATCACACTGACTGACTCACGACTTCAGAGGACGATATTCGTGAGATTCTGAAATAGATGCTGGCCCGTTTCCATGGTAACCTTTCTAAACTAAACTTTTAAGCTGTGTGTGTGTGTGTTTGCAGGTACCACTATCGTGGCGGTGATGATGGGTAACGAGGGCGGGACCACGCTGGCCGAGCTGCTGCGTATGGGCGTGCCCGTTACCGTGGAGATAGAGGTAGGGCGGGTGTTCGAGCCGCTGATGAGTCACTACTCCATCTTCCTCATCTCAGTCTCCTTCATCATCATCACCACGGCAACCGTTGCATACTTCATCTACTACACCGCTCGGAGACTCTACAGAGCCAGAGTGCAGAACCGCAAACAGGTAAACTCAGAGGGAACGTCTTAATGTGATCAGTCCGGCGCTGTGGCTCAGTCGTCTGATTGTGTCAGAGTAAATTTTAAAGCAGTGCAGACGCCGGAGGGCGGAGTGTTCGCTCACGAGCTGTCCACTGTCAGAATCGGGCTTTATTCGTTTATTAGTTCATTTTTGCAGGGAATCACTCAAACATCACACATCAAACATCAAACATCACTCACTGTTTCATCTAAACAAACTGAGCGTATGCGGACATAAACAACTTTTGTTGTTTTCATGTTGTTACCTTAGTCACCTGTGATTTTGACGGTAGTTATAGTTGTGTTTTTCCCAATTTTCTCCCAAATTCAGTCATGTCCAGTTCCCAAGCCCAAGCTCAACATGCTTGGAGAAGAACGCTAACTGCTAATTCTGTTATGTCAGCTAACAGATGAGTGTGTTAGATAGTATTGTGCTGAGGGGAGAGGGAGGACCACCTGTGGATGTGTGTGATTAGGTGGTTTTGATTGTGGTTACAATTATGTGGCTGTGGTACTTTTAGAATTCCAGTGCCACACACACACACACACACACACACACACACTCACACACACACACACACTCACTCACTCACTGCAGTGGTGTGTGTGAGTGGGTTAGAATCTGATCTCTAGCAGAGTGTGTGTGTGTGTGTAACAAGAGTTTAAGTGCAAAGTTTCCCTGTAAAATATTAATATGTGTGTGTGTGTGTGTGTGTGTGTGTGTGTGTGTGTCTGTGTGTGTGTGTGTGTGTGTGTGTGTCTGTGTGTGTGTGTGTGTGTGTGTGTGTGTGTGTGTGTGTGTGTTTGGAGAAACAGGGTTGTTAGTCTGCGAGTTCTGGCTCAAGGATTAAATTATTTAATGAGTTCGATAATAAACAGTAAATTAATCCCTGATAATAATAATAATATCAGAATCAGCCGGTGTGTGTCAGACCGGCTGTGTTTAAAACGTTTAATAAGAGCAAATCCAGAATCGAGATACAGCAAGAGGCGAAGGTCAATACATGGACAAACGGGGCAGTAAAGGCTGGACTAAATCAGAACAGGAGAACACGAGAAAAAGGTCAAAAACACGGAAGAGTCCAAAGGGGTCAGACTGCAGTCGTGACCGAGAAAACAAACCAAGACGTCAAACACGGAAATGAAGGCTCTCTAAGGCACAGAGCGCTGAGACAGCACTCAGACATGTATCGTCATTACAACAGCGGTCAACAATCAATAACCCGATCAACGCGAGCGTGGACACGTGAATGGTAGAGTTTGTGGTCATGTGATCCCCCAGAGGATTCTGGGAGTTGGAGTCTTGAACAGAGTGGGGAGTGTTAGTCTCTGCAAAGCCAGTGGGAGGCGTGACGAGGTGTGTTTAAATGTGTAATCAGTGTGTTTGATCTGATCTGCGGGTTTACGAGGTGAATATGAGCTCTGACTGACCACTGACCACAGCATCACAGCATCATTAAACTCTCTGACTGTGAAAATCAGCTCCTCGGCTCTGACTGTACACACAGCTCTCACTGCACACTATACCTCACACTATACCTCACACTACACACTATACCTCACACTGCACACTACACCTCACACTACACACTATACCTCACACTGCACACTATACCTCACACTGCACACTACACCTCACACTACACACTATACCTCACACTGCACACTATACCTCACACTACACACTACACCTCACACTGCACACTATACCTCACACTACACACTATATCTCACACTACACACTACACCTCACACTGCACACTACACCTCACACTGCACGCTACACCTCACACTACACACTATATCTCACACTACACACTACACCTCACACTGCACACTATACCTCACACTACACACTATACCTCACACTGCACACTACACCTCACACTGCACACTATACCTCACACTACACACTATACCTCACACTGCACACTACACCTCACACTACACACTATACCTCACACTACACACTATACCTCACACTACACACTATACCTCACACTGCACACTATACCTCACACCATACCTCACACTACACACTATACCTCACACTGCACACTACACCTCACACTACACACTATACCTCACACTGCACACTATACCTCACACTGCACACTATACCTCACACTACACACTACACCTCACACTGCACACTATACCTCACACCACACACTATACCTCACACTGCATACTATACCTCACACTACACACTATACCTCACACTGCATACTATACCTCACACTGCACACTACACCTCACACTGCACACTATACCTCACACTGCACACTACACCTGACACTACACACTATACCTCACACTATACCTCACACTGCATACTATACCTCACACTACACACTATATCTCACACTACACCTCACACTGCACACTATACCTCACACTATACCTCACACCACACACTATACCTCACACTGCATACTATACCTCACACTGCACACTACACCTCACACTGCACACTATACCTCACACTGCACACTACACCTGACACTACACACTATACCTCACACTATACCTCACACTGCATACTATACCTCACACTACACACTATACCTCACACTACACCTCACACTACACACTATACCTCACACTACCTCGCACTACACACTATACCTCACACTATACCTCACACTGCACACTATACCTCACACTGCACACTATACCTCACACTGCACACTATACCTCACACTTGACACTACACCTCACACTGCACACTACACCTCACACTGCATACTATACCTCACAGTACACCTCGCACTGCACATTATACCTCACACTACACACCATACCTCACACTGCACACGCTACACACCTCACACTGCACACTACACCTCACACTTATACACTATGCATTACACTTCACACCGTACCTCACTATACCTCACACTCACACTACACACTACACCTCACATCACACGTCACACCATACACCACACCTTACACTTCACCTCACACTACACACTATACCTCATAGTACACCATATACTACACCTCACACTACACCTCATCCAGCACAACAAAATATACCACAAAAACATTACAGACCGAGAGAGAGTGAAAGAGAGAGAGAGAGAGAGAGAGTGAGACGTCACTGTGGGTGTAAACTGTCTCTCTGATTCCCCTGAACACTCTGAGCTGTGCGACGGTTGCTGAGCAGCAGAAAATACACACAACACACACAGTTTAATTCTCTAGTGTATGATTAAAGGAGAACTCCACTGATCTCACAGAATTCCTACAGAACTAAAGGGTTAAGATGTAAACAGAGTGGTTTAGAGCGGTTCAGAGCGGTTCAGAGCGGTTTGGTGTGACACGCTCAGTTCTAGATAAACTTACCGAGTCAGAATTGTTCACAGTGGTGGTGATAGGAACCAGACGTCCTCCTCTAAAAGCTCCCTCCCTCCCTCATGGTTATGAATTCCCTGCCTGATGTTCTGATGTGTGTGTGTGATCATCACTGTGTGTTTCTCCTGCAGAACCAGCTGAAAGCGAAGGCCAAAAAGGCGATGGGTCAACTGCAGATCCGCACCCTGAAACACGGAGACAAGGTAACACACTGGAGCTTAGAGACGAGACAGACGAGCAGATCAGCTCCTCGTCTTCAACACCCACTGTGGGGGAGAGTGGTGGTGTTTAGTGGAGAATGATGGTGTTTGTTGCAGAATGGTGGCTTTTGTTGCAGAATGGTGGTGTTTAGTAGAGAATGGTGGTGTTTAGTGGAGAATGATGGTGTTTAGTGGAGAATGATGGTGTTTAGTGGAGAATGATGGTGTCTGTTGCAGAATGATCATGTTTTGGTGGAGAATGATGGGGTTTGGGTGGTGAATGGTGGTGTTTGAGTGGAGAATGATGGGGTTTGAGTGGAGAATGGAGGTGTTTAAATGGAGAGTGATAGTGTTTGAGTGGAGAATGGTGGTGTTTGAGTGGAGAATGGTGGTGTTTAGTGGAGAATGGTGGTGTTTAGTGGAGAATGATGGTGTTTCGTGGAGAATGATGGTGTTTAGTGGAGAATGATGGTGTTTGTTGCAGAATGGTGGCGTTTGTTGCAGAATGCTGGCGTTTAGTAGAGAATGGTGGTGTTTAGTGGAGAATGATGGTGTCTGTTGCAGAATGATCATGTTTTGGTGGAGAATGATGGGGTTTGGGTGGCGAATGGTGGTGTTTGAGTGGAGAATGATGGGGTTTGAGTGGAGAATGGAGGTGTTTAAATGGAGAGTGATAGTGTTTGAGTGGAGAATGGTGGTGTTTGAGTGGAGAATGGTGGTGTTTAGTGGAGAATGGTGGTGTTTAGTGGAGAATGATGGTGTTTCGTGGAGAATGATGGTGTTTAGTGGAGAATGATGGTGTTTGTTGCAGAATGGTGGCGTTTGTTGCAGAATGCTGGCGTTTAGTAGAGAATGGTGGTGTTTAGTGGAGAATGATGGTGTCTGTTGCAGAATGATCATGTTTTGGTGGAGAATGATGGGGTTTGGGTGGCGAATGGTGGTGTTTGAGTGGAGAATGATGGGGTTTGAGTGGAGAATGGAGGTGTTTAAATGGAGAGTGATAGTGTTTGAGTGGAGAATGGTGGTGTTTGAGTGGAGAATGGTGGTGTTTAGTGGAGAATGGTGGTGTTTGTTGCAGAATGGTGCTGTTTAGTGGAGAATGGTGGTGTTGCAGAATGGTGGTGTTTGGGTGGAGAATGGTGGTGTTTAGTGGAGAATGGTGGTGTTTGTTGCAGAATGGTGGTGTTTGGGTGGAGAATGGTGGTGTTTAGTGGAGAATGGTGGTGTTTGGTTGGAGAATGATGGTGTTTGAAAGGAGAACAATGGTGTTTGAATGGAGAATGATGGTGTTTGGGTTGAGAATGGTGGTGTTTGGGTTGAGAATGGTCAGGTCAAGTCAAGAGGCTTTTATTGTCATTCCATCCATGTACAAGTACACAGTGGAGTGAAATTACGTTCCTCCAGGAACAACACGGTGCAGCGAGGAACAAAAGAGTACAAAGTGCAAACATGCAGACAGTGTGCAAACAAAAAATTTAACTAGAAACAATACAACTAATACGATAAATTAAACAGACATTAGACACAGTAAACAGACAGGACAGTGCAGCACTGACTCAGCACTCATTTCTGGACATGAGGTAGTGGAATAAGGTGCAGAGATATTTAACATGCTGTGATCTGTGAGTTTGTGTTTGGTGGTGTTTGGGTTGAGAATGGTGGTGTTTGGTGGAGAATGATAGTGTTGGAGTAGAGAATGGTGGTGTTTGGGGGGGAATGTTGGTGTTTGAATGCAGAATGGTGGTGTTTGAGTGTAGAATGGTGGTGTTTGGTGGAGAATCATGGTGTTTGGTGGAGAATAATGGTGTTTGAGTGGAGAATGGTGGTGTTTGAGGAGGAATGGTGGTATTTGAGTGGAGAATGATGTTTGAATGGAGAATGGTGGTGTTTTGGTGGAGAATGATGGTGTTTGGTGGAGTATGGTGGTGTTTGGGTGGAGAATGATGATGTTTAGTGGAGAATGGGGGTGTTTGGGTAGAGAATGGTGGATTTTTGAATGGAGAATGATGGTGTTTGAGTGTAGAAAGATGGTGCTTGGTGGAGAATGGTGGTGTTTGAGTGGAGAATGATGGTGTTTGGTGGAGTATGGTGGTGTTTGGGTGGAGAATGGTGGCGTTTGGTGGAGTATGGTGGTTTTTGGGTGGAGAATGATGATGTTTAGTGGAAAATGGGGGTGTTTGGGTAGAGAATGGTGGTGTTTAAATGGAGAATTATGGTGTTTGAGTGTAGAATGATGGTGTTTGGTGGAGAATGGTGGTGTTTGGTGGAGAATAGTGGTGTTTGGTGGAGAATGATGGTGTTTGGTGGAGTATGGTGGCATTTGGGTGGAGAATGATGGTGTTTAGTAGAAAATGGTGGAGTTTGAGTGGAGAATGATGGTGTTTTGGTGGAGAATGATGGTGTTTGGTGGAGTATGGTGGTGTTTGGGTGGAGAATGATGATGTTTAGTGGAGAATGGGGGTGTTTGGGTAGAGAATGGTGGTGTTTGAATGGAGAATTATGGTGTTTGAGTGTAGAATGATGGTGCTTGGTGGAGAATGGTGGTGTTTGAATGGAGAATTATGGTGTTTGGTGGAGTATGGAGGTGTTTGGGTGGAGAATGGTGGTGTTTGGGTGGAGAATGGTGGGTCAGTGTATGTTGGTGGTTAAAGATGCAAACATAATTTAACAACATTAATTGATTATCAATAATAACAGTTTGTGTGTGTGTGTGTGTGTGTAGGAGTGTGTAGGTCCTGATGCTGACTCCTGTGCAGTGTGTATTGAAGTGTATAAACCTGGAGACGTTCTCTCAGTTCTCACCTGCAGGTACTCATTAAAACAATAGTTTAGTGGAACCTCTCCTTTACCCCTCCCACCCCCTGCTTTACCCCCCGGCCTTTACACCTCCCCACACCTCCTCCTTGTGTAAGTGATTGTGTGTATATATATGTAGTGTGTGTGTATGTGTGTGTGTATATATGTAGTGCGTGAGTGTGTGTGTGTATATATATGCAGTGTGTGTATGTGTGTGTGTGTGTATGTGTATGTGTGTGTGTGTATGTGTGTGTGTGTGTGTGTGTGGTTAAAGCTGAAACTGACTGATCCAGTTTACCCTGCCTGCAGGGTAAACAGAGCTGAGAGAGAGAGAGTGTTTATCTATGAAACTCACTCCTCCTGGAATTCCAGTGTGTGTTTAGGGATAAAGAGAGTGACTCAGTGCTCAGTGAAGGAGAATAAAACAGAATGAGGAGAAATGAAGAGAATGAAGGAGCAGCGGAGGAGAAACAGAAACTCACTGCACAGAAACGTTTATTAGTTTAATTATTAGTGCTTCACTCTAATAAACACTTACTGAAATACTGATTTACAATCTACAAACACCACTAAACACCAGCTAACCAGAACATCTCACCAACTTTAACAACAAATCCAATAGAATTACCAGATATCTGACTGATCAGGATGTGATACTCAGATTAACCTTTACAGTCTACAGTTATTAAACATTCAGTTTACATTAAATAATCCACTAAAATGACAGCAGCAAAGGAGTAAAGACTTAACACACATTAATAACGTCAAATTCACATGATTATAAAATTTCTCCTGTTCTGACTAACGAGGTATGAATATTTACAGTTTCTTCACTCAATTCAGTCAGAAATTATTCATATAAAATGACAGCATGAGTTTATCATCTGAGTTCTGAGGATTAAAGCTTCTGTTATTCAGTGAATCAGCTCTGCTCACGTGTTCTCTCTCTCTCTCTCTCTCTCTCTCTCTCTCTCTCTCTCTCTCTCTCGCTCGCTCTCTCTCTCTCTCTCTCTGTGTGTGTGTGTGTGTGTGTGTGTGTGTGTGTGTGTGTGTAGTCATTTTTTCCATAAGGTGTGTGTGGAGCCGTGGTTGCTGGAACACAGAACCTGCCCGATGTGTAAGAGTGATGTCCTCAAGGCTCTCGGAGTGGAGGTGAGAACTCAGAACCCTCCACAACAGGGGTCTCACTCTGTAATTATCAGAACACCAGCTGGGTGGTCTTCTCTGGGAGGGGGGGGTAAAACAGGAGGAAATAAATGCCTCATTATGTATTTCCTGAATTTTAATTACACAAACACTCATTTAAACACATCTTAGTCAGTGTTTATTAGCAATTCCTCTGTCCACAAACCACAACTACTATTAATAATGATAATGAAATAATACGGATAATAATAACAATTATTAAATTATTATAATTATTATTATTATAATAATAACAATTATTATTATTATTATTATTATTATTATCTGTAGTAGTGGTTTAAATATATAGTGTTAAGTGTTCAGTTAAATCAAATAAATGTACGTTTAACAATATATTCACAGGGGACTCTTATTGTGCTAAGCGTGAGTGAAGTTACTGTGAAGTGTTGATGTTTATTCTGTGTGGATTAGTGTAATAATTATGTTTATTAGTTAATGGTTCTGCGTTGCGTCTCCTGCTGAGTCCTGAATGAATCCGCGAGGGCAGATTTAAGTCTGTCAGTCTGTGCTGATTGATAGAGTTTAATGGGGAACCAGATGCAGCGTCTGTTCACTCTGTGTGTTAATCTGCGTTTTTGGTGATCAGATCACGTTCAGATTTCATTCGACTTGAGAAGATCCAGGTGTGAACGCGCACCGAACACATTGTGAGCAGATTATGATCAGAATACGTTTATCGGTGTACAGTTACGTGAGCAGAAATGTGTCTGCTGAGAGCTCACTAGCAGCTCAGCTAGAGGGCAGCATAGAGCTGAGTCTGGACTCTGTCCTCCACCAGAGGGCAGCGTAGAGCTGAGTCTGGACTCTGTCCTCCAGCAGAGGGCAGCATAGAGCTGAGTCTGAATTCTGTCCTCCACCAGAGGGCAGCGTAGAGCTGAGTCTGGACTCTGTTCTCCACCAGAGGGCAGCGTAGAGCTGAGTCTGAATTCTGTCCTCCACCAGAGGGCAGCGTAGAGCTGAGTCTGGACTCTGTTCTCCACCAGAGGGCAGCGTAGAGCTGAGTCTGAATTCTGTTCTCCACCAGAGGGCAGCGTAGAGCTGAGTTTGGACTCTGTTCTCCACCAGAGGGCAGCATAGAGCTGAGTCTGGACTCTGTTCTCCACCAGAGGGCAGCATAGAGCTGAGTCTGGACTCTGTTCTCCACCAGAGGGCAGCGTAGAGCTGAGTTTGGACTCTGTTCTCCACCAGAGGGCAGCATAGAGCTGAGTCTGGACTCTGTTCTCCACCAGAGGGCAGCGTAGAGCTGAGTCTGGACTCTGTCCTCCACCATAGGGGGCAGTTGAGCTGAGTCTGGACTCTGTTCTCCACCAGAGGGCAGCATAGAGCTGAGTCTGGACTCTGTTCTCCACCAGAGGGCAGTCTAAAAGCTACTGCACTCAGATTTTGACTCAACTCTCATAAAATTCCACACACACTAACCATCCCCCCTCACTCTCTCTTTCTCTCTCTCTCTGTATGTCTCTCTCTCTCTCTCTCTCTCTCTCTCTCTCTCTCTCTGTATCTCTCTCTTTCTCTCTCTCTCTCTCTCTCTCTCTCTGTATCTCTCTCTCTCTCTCTCTCTCTCTCTGTATCTCTCTCTCTCTCTCTCTCTCTCTCTGTATCTCTCTCTCTCTCTCTGTATCTCTCTCTGTATCTCTCTGTATCTCTCTCTCTCTCTCTCTCTCTCTCTCTCTTTGTGTATCTCTCTATCTCTCTGTATCTCTCTCTCTCTGTCTCTCTCTCTCTGTAGGTTGATGAGGAGACTCAACCTGATTTAAACTCCAGCAGCTCTGATGATTCTCACACACACACCGACACATACAGCGACAGTGTCTCACACACACACGTCAGCAGTGTGTCTCACACACTCAGCGACGCAGCGTCTTCAGGATACGAGTCTATAAACTCAGACATACACACCGGTGAGAAACACACACACACACACACACACAAACACACAAGTGAGAAACACACACACAAACACAGCAGTGAGAAACACACACAGATACACACTGGTGAGAAACACACACACACACACACACACACCAGTGAGAAACACACACACACATAATGAGTTATACTTACTCTGAGATTATAATAGTAATGAGTTATATTTACTCTGAGATTATAAGAGTAATGAGTTATACTTACTCTGAGATTATAATAGTAATGAGTTATATTTACTCTGAGATTATAAGAGTAATGAGCTATAGTTACTCTGAGATTATAAGAGTAATGAGCTATAGTTACTCTGAGATTATAAGAGTAATGAGTTATACTTTGAGATTATAAGAGTAATGAGCTATAGTTACTCTGAGATTATAAGAGTAATGAGTTATACTTACTCTGATATTATAAGAGTAATGAGCTATACTTACTCTGAGATTATAATAGTAAAGAGTTATATTTACTCTGAGATTATAAGAGTAATGAGCTATAGTTACTCTGAGATTATAAGAGTAATGAGTTATATTTACTCTGAGATTATAAGAGTAATGAGTTATACTTACTCTGAGATTATAAGAGTAATGAGCTATAGTTACTCTGAGATTATAAGAGTAATGAGCTATAGTTACTCTGAGATTATAAGAGTAATGAGTTATACTTACTCTGAGATTATAAGAGTAATGAGCTATAGTTACTCTGAGATTATAAGAGTAATGAGTTATATTTACTCTGAGATTATAAGAGTAATGAGTTATACTTACTCTGAGATTATAAGAGTAATGAGCTATAGTTACTCTGAGATTATAAGAGTAATGAGTTATACTTACTCTGAGATTATAAGAGTAATGAGCTATACTTACTTTGAGATTATAAGAGTAATGAGTTTGTATTTACTCTGAGATTATAAGAGTAATGAGCTATAGTTACTCTGAGATTATAAGAGTAATGAGTTATACTCTGAGATTATAAGAGTAATGAGCTATAGTTACTCTGAGATTATAAGAGTAATGAGCTATAGTTACTCTGAGATTATAATAGTAATGAGTTATACTTTGAGATTATAAAAGTAATGAGTTATACTTACTCTGAGATTATAAGAGTAATGAGCTATAGTTACTCTGAGATTATAAGAGTAATGAGTTATACTTACTCTGATATTATAAGAGTAATGAGCTATACTTACTCTGAGATTATAATAGTAAAGAGTTATATTTACTCTGAGATTATAAGAGTAATGAGCTATAGTTACTCTGAGATTATAAGAGTAATGAGTTATATTTACTCTGAGATTATAAGAGTAATGAGTTATACTTACTCTGAGATTATAAGAGTAATGAGCTATAGTTACTCTGAGATTATAAGAGTAATGAGCTATAGTTACTCTGAGATTATAAGAGTAATGAGTATATTTACTCTGAGATTATAAGAGTAATGAGTTATACTTACTCTGAGATTATAAGAGTAATGAGCTATAGTTACTCTGAGATTATAAGAGTAATGAGTTATACTTACTCTGAGATTATAAGAGTAATGAGCTATACTTACTTTGAGATTATAAGAGTAATGAGTTGTATTTACTCTGAGATTATAAGAGTAATGAGCTATAGTTACTCTGAGATTATAAGAGTAATGAGTTATACTCTGAGATTATAAGAGTAATGAGCTATAGTTACTCTGAGATTATAAGAGTAATGAGTTATACTTACTCTGAGATTATA